CATTTTACAACTGCATATTTGTAATGCATTTCACTGAGAACTGTTTTAACGCACGTAACAGATGAAAATAGTTAACGCCATCTGTCGTAATGGTTAATATAAAAATGTTCTATTTAATGCTAATGCCAGTGACAACGTGATTGTTTTTCCAAAACAGAAAAACTTTAACTAAAAATCATGAAAATATCTTCGAAAACATGATAGTAGAGTTAAAGTTTCCTGTGATAAGTTTGTAAAATTCTGATCGCTTTGCAAAAAGTCATATATTCTGAAAGAGGAAGCTTCCTGCATCTTTCAATGACAAAAACTCAACTTCGATATTTTTTCGAAAACTTGGGTTTTCTGAGGGATCTCTTAAGATCAAGTCACGCTTGGTTGCGGACGATGCTCAATCATGTTGTTTTCACTACTATATTCCCATATAATTCAAACTAGACAAAAGTCAGGGGTAGTTCGACACTTACAGATTGACAATTCTTTGACCGGCATTCTACTTCGGTATATTGATGATTGTGCAAATAAATATGCAACATAGGCTCTTATATAAATATTTCTCTACCTATTTTGAACATAGTTCATGAACTAGACATTCGTTGAATCAATCTACTTTGAGTTCACTTTCGAGATTTTAAAATCTAGCTTCCTACAATTTTTTATGTTTTTGATGTGTTTTCCTAGACACTTGAAAGTAGTAATGATGATGTTCGAATAATGAGTCATTTTTTATTTACTGCTAAAAAATATTCATTGTTTTTAAAACAACAATTGTAGGAAGAAGCAAAAAAACCAACTAGTCAGCTCTTTCGCCGATTTCATTCGTTCTGTTTCATAAAAGAAATTCTTCATGTTTTTCTTCTTTTTTTTCTTTCTGTGCTCGACAGGCATGCATTTTTTTTTTGCTAAGTAATATTATTTTCATCATTCATTTTTTCTTATTCCATTTTCGCCGGTACTCATTAGATTTTTTCAAATAATGATTAACACATACACACGTTGTGAAGGAGCTTTTATTGGACATGCTATTGCATCTAAATATGATCCATCGATATTAATGGCATTAAATATTAGTCAAAGTCTTGTTGAATGTCAAAAATTCGATGGATCAGACATTTTATCAAGATATCTTTATTTATATCATACAAAAAAATGTGAAATTGGTGAAATAACGAAATATATTTATCAAGAAACATTAAAACGTAATGATACACAATCTTTGATTAGTCGGGAAAATTTTCGTTTTGATCAATCAATTATTGATGAAATTGTTAAATTAGCTGATCAGAAATTTGAGGGTCGTACAGCTGGTTGTGGTCCAGCACAACGTTCATATCCACTTGCTTTTTGTCAGTATATAAAAGATGATGATTTATTTGATTGCACTTTGCTTGAAGCAAAATTAACTCATAACAATCCAATTGCAGGTCAAGTAGCTGGTATTGTCAATCTTATTTGTCGTTCTCTTATTAACAATAATGATTGGAATGATGCAGTCAATTCAGCATTAGCAACACCTCGTCTTCATAAAGATATAATGGAAATGGCATTCCATCGTAATCGTAGGTTTTATCATGATTTAGGAACGCCTGCAGCTTATGCACCAACAGCACTCAATTCTGCATTGTATTGTGTTTCTGTATCGGACAATGCAGCTCAAGCAATTGCAAATGCTTGTGATAAAGACAAATCTTATTGTGCACCAATTGTTGGAATATTAGCTGGTGCACGTTGGGGAATTCCATTAGAAACATATAAAGATAATATTAATGATTTACAATTAGCACCTCTTCGTGATATAGCTGGTAGATTAAGTGCTATTTGGAAATCAAAAAATGATGGACCACATTATTAAAAAAGGAATAAATAAATAGACATTGAATAAATATGCACGGGAGATTATAAATGATTATGTAATCAAATATTGAAATGTTTCCATTTTTGTTCAATTAAACAAACTGATTATTATTGTTGATTATAGAAATCTATTCAAAGCCTTTGCAGTATCATCCTTGACTTCACTAAAGAAATATACAACATTATAAATTAAAAAAGATATAGACAAATTAAACAGAGTTTTTAAAACATATCAAAATAAACAAAATCGAAAAAGATGAGAATAAAGAACTTATGTTATGTTTAACTTTAATTGAAGTCTAGTTAAATCTAGGAAGTTGTAGAGTTTGTGAGTTTATTCAATCGGAATCGAGTTTGTCTTAGCAAAAAAAGACAGAGCAAATCTTTAAACCTATGCTTTTTGAATAGCATTTTTTTTATCGTTTTCCACTTGTCTTCTAATTGAACTTGGTTGATATGTAAAGTATAAATATATTATGTTGTTAATTGTCTTGTTTCAAAATTGAATACTCTAAAAATGTGAAATGTTGATTCACTTGTCCATGAAAAATACTTTCGAGGAATATTGTCTAACGTCGACGCATACGTAAAAATGAATACGTTATCTAGTAAAAAAAGTACATGCTATGTTTGCTTGATGAAAGCGAAAATTAAAACTTATTTTTAAATAAAAGAAAACTATTTCGCAGTTTTACGTCTGGTCAAAAATAATAACTCTGTCTAAGTTTAATTGGGTCTAAAGCTCAATTTTGCCTAGGACATTTCGTCCATAAATTTATGTAATACTTTAAATGTGCTATGCTTGGCAGATCAAAAACAGAGATTGACCATGAATTCTCGAAATTTCTTAGAGTGCATCAATAAAGGGCATCCGATAAAAAATCAATATCATTGAATCCCACCCCCTATCTCCCTTCAGCTCGAGCTTGATCAGTTTCGTCCGATACCCTCTTCTCTTCCGTACATTACTTGTTAAAGAAATTTTTTTTCGAAAGAAATTAGTTTTTCAACTGCATTGTTTTTTTCTATTGAAGTACACTGAATGTAGTTACTGTTGATAATCAGAGGGAGATAGTTTTATTCTTTACATCTTGTGATATATTTCTTCATCCTTCTTTTAATTAATTCTCCAGAAATGCAATAAAGAAGTAATTCATTTAGCTAGATTGAGACGTTATTGATATATAATCTGTGAGCGTATATCAACAACGTATGCCATGGCCTATGCTGATCTCTGGCTAGCGTCTGTCATGGTCATTGGACAGTCCAAAATTTGTACTCTATATACTTCAACACATCTTTTAGATCGTATTTCACAAAGTTCGTAACAAATTTCTGGACATCCATATGTATTTGTCTGACTCATTCTTTCCCTGTCCAAATATCCTCTTTGTATGACCCCCATATTAGATTTAGAAAATTGAAATCTGAAGTTTAAGCAAATGTTAGTCGCATTTCTTAGAATTATATATGTATTATCTTTTCGTTTTCCACAAATACTTCATAAGAAATGGTGCGTGACAATATGTATTTCTTTTGATATATTCTATTGAATTATTTTATCCATGCAGTCTTAGACTTATTTCATCTTATATTAAAATTAAAATGAATCAAATAACAAGAAATAAAAGCATAGACCAAAACTCAGTTTATTAGAACTTCATGTTTTTTGTTAAGATAAGAATAAAACATACATTTCTCTCATAAAAGAAAATGATGAAAACTCAAATACTGTTGTGAATAAGAAGATAATGTGTATTTATTGTCAATTACAAAGTTTCTGTTGTTAAAATATTTGGTAAATATTTTTCTGTTATTTGTAACATTGCTTTTGGTAACCAATGTATACCTCCATTAGGTACATATTCATATGGTTGTTCTACAGCAAAAACTTTTGCAAAACGATACCACCAACGAAGTGGTGTTAATATTTGATGAGCTAAATTATGACTAACAACACTTGAATAACATGAAGCAGCCATATCATTTACAATTAATGTTCCTAATGAAAAAAAAAAATTGATAAGCAAAAAAAAAAAAAAGAAATAAAAAAATTTACCGTGACTAGTCATTGGTGTAAAATATCCAACTTTATATTCTTCACTAATATTTCGAACTTTTACTGATTGAAGTTCACCTTTTGAATGAATAAAAACTATATCTTGTGTTTTTATTTGATTTGCAGGAAGAAAATGATCATTATGATTAACAGCAATAAAATGATTTCCTGTTAAACTTAAACGATGACCAGTTTCAGTTTCAATTGAATAGAATAAAGCTAAATATAAAAATAAGAATAGAAAATATTAGATATCAAAAATAAATAAATAAAACCTGGCCGATTTGGTTGACTATCAAGCATCATAATAATTTCATCCTCTTCAATTTGTTTTTGTGAATTCATTACCAATACACGATCACCTGGTTGAAGTTCACGTAAAAGTTTTTTTTCACCATTGGCCATTGAAACAAAATCGTCACCCGAAAAACATTTTGGATTACCTAAGATTTATAAATACAAAATCGGTTCATTGATTTCAGATTATGAAAACAAGTGTATTTCAACAAAGTCAGTTGGAAAGATGTGGCAAAAACTACAGTTAGTCCGAAAAAATGTCTAGGATGCACTAGTGACCAACTACAAAAGAACTGGAAAAAAATATCTTGCATCTTCGGGGCGACGATCCAATTTTGATTAGAAAATTTCATTGAGAGCATCAATGTACAGTTTGGGAAACTTTCGGATCCGACGAACTCTACGCAAAACACCGGAAATCAATGAAAAATGGGATGTAGCATTTGGGACTGGAATGTCTTCGGATTTTTTCAGTAAGCTCTGAATGTTTTGCATCGGAAAATGTTCCCCCAACCGTGACTACTGCATCCGAGTTCTATTGATTTCCGATCTGTCGAAATCGACCTGTATGTATGCTTATACGAGTGAATTTATTTTTTATTTAAATCGAATAATCAAGAAAAACTTACGACGAAGTGGACATTCATCAGGTTCGGGAACACCTGGATTAACACAACACCATTGAGCTAAATTTTGTAATTCAGTAAAACCACCTTCAGCTGCCTAAAGAGAAAATTTTTAATATTTCTTTTTTTAACAAAGGAAATATTAATCATTACCCATCCACCAATACAATTGCGAGTTTTTGTTTTAAAACATTCCATATATCTTTCAGCTAAATTACAAAATAATTTTAAATTTCCTTTAGCTGCTTGAATTATAGCTTGAACATCAAGTTGTGCACATTCAGCTAATTGTACTGGATCTTCTTCTACTGGACATGGTAATTGACCCAATGAGAATTGTATAATTATACCAATCAATCCACATATGAAGATAAATCTTTGATTTGACATTGTTTCTTCTTCTGCTTCTTCTATTCAATTGAATAAATGATTTCATGAAAGAATATATATCGATCATCTTCATTGTTCTTTGGTTTTTTTTCCACCTCTTCTTAGTCAATAAATCATATAATAAGTATAATTTAACTTGATTATCGTCATTCAATCTATCATAATGTATATATTTGACTAAGATGATTGAGATACTAACTCAATATTATCCATCCTCTTCATTTTTTTTTAATTATATTTTAATAAAACATAGCAAACAAATTAAATAGACAATTCTTTTTTTTTTCGTGAGCTATACAAAAATTCATAATAGTTTGTAGTTTTATTATTTCAATTGATTGAATTCTTTGATTACGTTATTAATTGAATTATATAAATTCTTCTTCTAATAATTTATTATTACAATATCATATTGAATCGTCTATTTTCACATTATTTTTAATTGAAAGAAAACTATAAAATATAAATAATAAACATTAGAGTAACGGAAAAAATTTTAGCATATTTTTTTATTTTTTGAATTACTGGTCAAGAACAACCTATTCAAGGTATTCGAAAAGTCATTTCGATAGTTTTCAGAGCAACCTACAAAACTAATATATAAGTATTTTTCAGAGTACACCTATTTTATCTTTTATAATGCAAAAAATTTTCCTTCAGTAGTCAAAATTTTAGAACATTTTCAATATTTAGCCAATATTTTCATTATTCACCGACACTAAATCTTATATTGAAATATTAATTAATTATTAATAATTAGTAGTTAACTTATAATGTTTCATTTTATTTTCAATTTTCCAAGTATCTTATATGAAGGAGTATGAAAAATTGAATAATATTACTATTTCAGAATGGATCATCTAAGTGATGTCTTCAGAATGTTTTTAGTTTCAATTATTCATAATGTTGATTATTTTTAATAAATTCAACTATGAATCAAAACTTTAAATCTGAAAAATCTAGTGTATTTTGAAGAGCAGAATTTGCTCTTTCAAATGATATCTCACTGCTTTCTGTGTGATGTTCCATTCAAATGTTACAGCGTCCTTAATTTTAAGAATTAATTGAAGTCATAAGTTCCAGCCGTTTTTCTATTATTTGGTGTTTTATACTTTGAAAATGCTGTAACATTTCAATGGAATATCGCACAGAGAACAGCGACATGTCATCTGAAAGAGCAAATGCTGCTCTTCAAAACATACTCGATTTGCTAAATTTAAAGTTTTAATTCATAGGTAAATTTATCAAAAATAAACAACGTTATGACTAATTGAAACTTAAGGGCCCCCCCCCCGTCATAAAAACCAATTTTTTCGGAAAAATTCGAAGTTGAGATTTTATCATAGGAAGATGTACCGAAGTCTCCTCTTTCAGAATATATATGCCTTTTCCGAAAAAAGCCAGGTTTTAATAGTCTTACCAAAAGAGATTGGGGACCTACTATCATGTTTTTCGAGACATTTTCGGAATTTTCGAAAGTCTCTCAAAAACGGAAAAATATTGCTTTTCTATTTTAATACATTGTATTATAAAAAAAGAAAATATACCAGAAGATGCAGCGTGAAAAGCTCTACAATTTGTATAATGCCAGTTATTTTATAGTTGTACTTTTTCTTTTAAAAATCGACAAAATTCTGAAAATATGCCATTTTCATATGTTGTTTTTTGAACTTAAATAAAAAAATCCATTTCTAAATTTTTTCGAGTTTACCGTTTACGCGGGGAAGGATTTCTTAATAATGACTCAATAGAGAAGGGATAATTTTTTTTTTGTTGAATAGAGGACAGTTAGGGCTAGATTCTCACAAGCTCCGATTTTTGAATTTCTCTTTTGCTGAAATAAAAAACTCAGATATTTCATATTTATTAGCACTTTGAATTTGAACATTTTTCGAAAAAGTATTTTTAAAAATCAAACAAAGGGAAATTCAAAAATCGGAGCTTGTGAGGATCTAGCCCTAAGGTCATTCTACAATTTAAAAATCACCCCGACATGATTAGCTAATAACCCCATTGTGAAAACCTTCCCCGCGTAAAGGGTAATGAATTGTCTGGAACTTGTGCATATCTTTGAGATTTGGGGGAGATATTTTAACCATAAGCTATTCTAGTCAAGACTAACATTCTCTAAAATTTTGGTTGAAATCGGATGAGAAAATAACTAAGTTCGTTTCTGAGAGGACCCCCCTTAAAACACTCTGAGAATTCCACTAAGATGATCCATTCTGAATTAGTAATATTGTTCAATTTTTTATGCTCTTTCATGAGATACTTAAGAGTTGAAAATAAAACGAAATATTATAAGTGAACTACTTTTAACTAAAATTTAGTTCGTTAAATTCTATCCATAAAGTAACTTTCAGTTGGTGGTGAATAATAAAAAATTGGTTCAATATTGAAAATGTCCGAAAATTTTTGTCATGGAAGCAAATTTTTTTTTTATAATGAAAGGTAAAAAAGCTATGCTATGAAAAATGCTTATATATTAGTTTTGTAGGTCGTTCTGAGAACTATCAAAATTACATTTTGGATGTCTTGAATAGGTTGTCCTTGACCAGTAATTCAAAAAAATAAAAAGTGTGCTAAAATTTTTTCCTTTACTTTATATAAAAAAAAGTTTATTAATTAATCCATAAAAAAGATCTTTCTTGAGTACATAAAACGTATCGATTAAATGATTGTTTACTTTTCTTTCTTACAGAAAACAAAAAAAAAGAATCTTCTTTTCGACTAGATTCAAAAAAGAAGACAAGTCATCAATTAGATTATATAGGCATAGGTAAACATTGTAAAGCTGTTGGTTGTCCTATCATTTGTTGACCTTGCATACTAGCTACACATGGTGACTGATTTGAATCAAATGAAAATACTAATGGAGCAGTAGAACTACTACAAACAAGGGGTGATTGTTGAATACTAGCAGATGGCATTGAAATAAGTTGTGGTGCTGGTTGACAAACAAAAGGAGCATTAACAATATTTGTTCGTACTGGTTCATTTATATAATCAGGAAGACCAGGTGGTATTAAATAGCTCTGTGGATCATTTGGATCTCCTCTTAATACATCTCGAAAAGCACCAACAAATTCAGGAAAATCAATAAAACCATCACGATTTCGATCAATACTAACAAATATATTTTCAATAGCACGATCAATATTTTCATTATTTGCATCAATAAGGACATCACGTAATAATTGACGAAAAACAACACGATCAAGTTTATTTCTACCACCACGTGTTAAATTCACATATTCTTTATGAAGTATTGCTACGTCTGCTGGATTCAATCCAGCTATATTAGCAACAGCTCCATAATCTGAATCTCGATAACCAAGAGCACCAGATGGATATTGTCCATATGCACGTTGAAGAGCAGGACTTACTTGTGATAAGTTCATTAAAGGAGGACCACTGTAATTTGGTGATGATGGTCGTGGCGGAAGCATTCCAGTACCTGGCTGCATTGGAGGCATTCGACCCTGTAAACTTTGAATTGTTCGATAAGCTTCATCAAGTTTTTGTCGCTCTCTTCGACTAAGAGGTGGTGAAACATTTCCAACACCAGTATTATATGGAGGAATCATTGGCGGACCACCGTATGGTAATGATGGATTATATGGTGGTGGATATTGTGGAATAGGCATTTGAGGCGATGTACGACGTGAACCACTCGTACCCATTGATTTTTCAGTTCTGATTTGACCGCGATAGACAATTAGTTTCTATCGAGGATGTCCTACATAGTAATTATGACTGTGAAGAAAAGAAAATGAATGTTTCACTTGACTGAATTCCCTATATATGTGAAGTAATAAGTCTGCCTTTTGCTTCGATAGTCAAGGCTTATTAAAGTGCACATATGCGCTATTTCACATAAAAAAAAATTAATGACCTTGCCACCATGATCGATCAGCATAGAATATGAACAAAAGAAAAGTTTATCCTTGTATAAGAAAATCCGGTTTTTTTTTCGTATATCTTTAAAATTCAAAACAATTCTCCTTTTCTTTTTTATCTTCTTTTTTTTTATTCGAACTTTGTTCTTACACGAATCAAGTAGCCAGCAAAAAAAAAGTTTTTGTGAAGAACAAAAAGAGGAAAAAAACGAAGGGTTTTTAGAAGCGTGTGTGCGTATATATGCTCGTTTATAAACAAGATCAACAGAACGCAAAAGAGAAAAAAAAGAGAATACTGTGTTTTAGTAAATATCCAAAAAACCGGTGAATATCAAACAACAATAACAAACAAGATCTTTGTTTAATAACATAAAAACAAAAGAAAAACTAACGTCAAAAATATCTGAGATGATGATGCTCGATAAACAAAAAAAAATAATACAAAAACGTTTTCTTTTTTTTTTAAATAATATCTCTGCATCACACAGATATATGAGATAGAAAAGAAGAAATAACAACGATCAAAATACACACACGCGTATTTTAGGAAATAGGGAAGACAAACTGTACAGTATCTTAGCTCCTTTTTATTTTGTTTTATTAACGATTGTAATTGGGTGCAGGGACTGAATCGGACGAAAAATGATCATAACCAGTTGGTGCTTGATATGCAAAAGCATTCGGTGGACCACTTGATGAATCAGTGCCATAATTATATTGACTCGTTGGTCCTTGGGAAGCTTGGGCTTGACTATAATTCCAACCTGGATAGGAATATTGTGCTGAATTCGAATTAGCAGCAGGTGTATTAATTGAATTACCAGATTGTGATCGTCCTTGACCGTATGAATTAGCTTGTGGGTGAGGACCGACTTGCCATGCTGCATTTGAAGCAGACGCTGATGAAGGAGCATATGAACTATACGAACGAGGATCGGCTTAAAAAATAAAATAAAATAAAATTTAATAAAAAAATTTTTTAAATTTGTTTTTACCATAGTTTGGATTTTGCCATTGAGCAGGACTTATTGGTGACCATGGTTGATTATTTGTTTGTAATTGTTGTCGATTTGATTGTGTACGATTTTGACCTTGTTGACTTGTTTGTTGACTAAAAGAAAAAAAAAAAAACATCAACATATGAACAAAAGACTTAATTAAAAATTTTACTTATAATATGGATAATGTTGTTGTTGAGCAGCAAGTGCAACTTGTTGATATTGTAATTGTTGTTGTGAACGTTGTTCTAAAATAAATCATTTTGTTTTGTGAAAATAAAAGAAAAAAAAAGAAAAATTTTATTTTATTTACGTGGTTGATATGAAAATAGATTTTGATTTAAATTTGGCATATTATAATGTGTTAATGGTTGTTGCATCATCGTTGTATTTTGTTGATTATTTTCTAAATTTTTTGGATTTGCACGTTTACAATCAATAGATTTACCAGCTAATGTATGTCGAGGTTGTTTAAGTACTTCTTCAGCACTTTGTTCATTTTCAAAAAGTATAAAACAAAATGGACGACGTTTTTGTTTTATTTTATCAATTGGTGCTTCGATTTGTGCAATCTAAAGATTAATGTTCAGTTGATTTTTTTTTTCATATAATTTAAAATTTAATCAAATAAAACAAACCATTCCAAATTGAGAAAAATATTCTCGTAATTCAGCATCTGTTATTTCTGTATCTAAACCACCAACAAAAACTTTACGAGCTAGTGCTTGATCACGACGATGTGCAGATTTTGTATCAACACGTTTGCCTTGAATTATATGGACATCTTGAGAATAAACCTATTTTGTTTTTTTTTTATTTTCAAATTAATAAAAATTTTAAAAAAATGATTAAATTAATTACTTTATTGGGTGTATCAGGATCTTCAAAAAGAACAAAACCAAAACCTTTTGAACGACCTGATTTATCATATTTAACAGTTGCACTTTCAACACTGCCAAATTTTGAAAAATATTCACGAAGATGTTCTGAGATAAATTTAAAAAAAAAATCAATTATCAATTAAAGAATTCGAAAAAGTAAAAAATATTTCTTACCCATCTTCGTATCTGGACTAAGACCACCAACAAAAACTTTTCTTTTACTAAATAATTTTCATTTAATTTTTTCGAAAACAAAAAAGGAAAATTCAATTATCTATTTACTTGACTGAATCATTCGTTGCATTATCAACTCCATTATTATTTTGTCGACGTTGTTGCATTGATGATCCATTATATGTAACATATTTTTGTGGTGGTAACATTGGTCTCATATAATTATTGCTATTATTTAAATATTTTGCTGGCGGACCTGTATAAATTGTACCAGTTATTGGTGATGCCATTGGTAATTGTTGTTTCATAGTAAACATTTGAATTGGACTTTCAAATGCTTGTGCTATATTATCCAAATTTTGACGTATCGGTTGAAAACCAGTATTATTGCTGTTTGTTGAAGAGGAAACACCTTGATCAGACGACATTTAATCACAATAACCACACACACAAACAAACAAGGGAAAAAAAAGAGATAGGAAAAAAAAAAACAAGATTTGTAAACACACGAAACACACACGAAAAAAAAAAGAAAAAGCAACTATGTAAGTTCTAAAAAAAAACAAACAACAAAAACTTGAAGCAAAAAAACAAAAAAAAAAGAAAATCGATCAAGCTAAGTAAATAAATAATTAAAACTATAACCAATCCTCTATGATTACACACTTATGCACTTTGAAGAACCGATTTTTGGCTTCTGACGGTTACTTAGTTTAGATAATAAATGGATTTTTCATATGGCGATATATAAATGGTACAGTAGTCGCTACCAATTAATAGACTTGAAGATTGTCATATTTAATCGTTTGCCTCCTCGCAGTAATACCTATTGTTCAGCTCTTGCACAAACCAAGAGCCATAACACAAGCTATTACTCGACATAAAGTTACTTAAAAATGTCCATGGAATTCTTTTTGATTGATTCTTAATTTTAATAAAGTTTTTAGCATGTAGATCCTGTCATTTTATGAGTTTATATTGAAAATAAAATAATTCTAGAAAAACTATTTTTCCAATTATTCATTACGAATCAGTCAAAAATGATCGGACAGAAAGTTAAGAGTTAATTAATAACATCAGCAAAATATTTCAAAATTTTAACAATTCATAAAAGTCTTTTTTTTTTCGTATACGTCAATCAGCTTAAACTCGCTTGAGTTAAGGCTAATCTTAAAGTACAAATATTCAGTAAAACTATGATAGGTATACCACAACAGTATGATGGTTACAGAATAGCCTACTGTTTATATATAAAATAACCATCGGTTAGTTACTGGTCTATTGAGCTTTTGAATTACATGGAAATTTCTAGAAGGAAAATTTGTTACGATACTAGATTCGTTTCAATCATTTCTGATTGAGTCTACTTTCTTATATTTGTCACATCCATACGATAGAATATTAGTTTATACACATGTATTTATTCTTTTAAACCATCGATAAAATTAAGTTCGACGAGAGAATTAAATAACTCAAAGAATTTTTTTCCTTATAGTTGATTTCAATTTCTGATCTCAAATAGTTTTTCATACCGTAAGAAAGAAAATAATCTGAATTTTTCTTAATTAATTTGATTTTAAATATATAATATAAAAATTAATAAATTCTAAAACTAATAAATTTTTTCAAAGCCAATTCAAACTTGTTTCTTTTGAATCAGATAAAACTAAATTTCATTATCTAACGTTTGATATCTGTCCTCTTTTCAGCATATCTATCCATGTGTCTGAGGTCAGGGCATAGTTTTAAAAAAAAAGATAAAATGCGACTTCTACTAATAAAACAGAAATTGAAACATCGCAAATAGTTCCAATATTCACATTGTTTTCTTTTTGCGAACAAAAATATTAAAGGAATCAGAAGGAAAAATCGTCGTTAGGATTAGCCATTTTTTGTAACCAATAACAATCATTTCTCTATTCCAAAAATCAAAACATAGTACCCAATGCACACATGAATAGCGACTTTAACAGGGTCGATTTTCGACGTATTCGTAACATGAAAAAATGTTTGAAAAAAAACGCAGAGGAAGCAAAACAATGGTTACTATTTTGAATGTATATGCGAAGTTGATCTTATCACTAAATAATTCATTATTTATATTTATGTCATTCTATTTAATTATTTTTATATAAGAAATAAAAATAAATTTGATTATTATTAAGAAAAAACAAAAATACTAAATTCGAGTATTAGCTTTACAACCATATTCGGAAAAATGAAAATCTCCATAAACAACTTCTCCACATAAAAAACAAAATCTAGTTTCACATTTTTCACATGTAATCATATTTTTTGTTCCAATTTTAATATGAGTTTGACGACAATTTTCTCTTGGACATCTTTGTACTCGTTTTGCAATATTATGATGAAGTTGTGTTCCATTTTTATCATGTAATATTTGTTCAAATTTTTCATTCATATCTAATGGTAATGATGCTTGAAATTTTTCAGGTTTTATTTCACATGGATGTGGACTATAAGTACCTCCATACCATCCACATACCCAACAAAAATGTATTTGACATGCTCGACAATGCATATGTTGACAACCACCATTTTTTTCAATTCGAACACCACATGATGGACATGGTTTTGTACATTGTTCAATTATTTGAATATTTTCAATTTCTAATAAAAGTTGTTTTAATTCAATTTTATTTAATTTTGATTGATCAGAATTTGAATTTTGTTTAATATTTTGAAGAATTTCATCTTTAGGACATTGAATTTGTGGATGCCAACTTTGTTTGCATCGTCGACAAAATATAAATCGACAATAAAAACATTCAACAAATGATTGATGATTTCCTGATATACTTTCTGATGGTATACAAATAATTCCATGGTGACAACGTGGACACCATACCATATCAACAGTTTGTTCTAATAAACGTTGTTGATATTTTAAAAATAATTTATCATCAGAAAATATTCGACGAAGTTCAGATTGATATAATGGTGAATCACATTCATAACAATTGATTGATTTATTTTGTTGAATATTAGATAAATATTCATTTGCATGAGATTTTAAACATAACAAACAAGCATAATGATGACATTTTTCAAATTGTAAACAATTTTTTCCTGATTTTTCTTCTAAACTAAAGATTTCAATTAATAATTATAATAATAATAATAATAATGATTAATGATGAATAAAAAATGAATTTTTTCTTACCATATTGGGCAAATATGATTTGTTTGTTCAAATTCAAATTGATTTTGTATACGATTATATTCAATTAATTGTTGATAAATTTGTTTAGATCCAATTTTATCATAATTAGTTAAAAAACGTTTATCATTTATAGATGATTTAATATCAGAAAGAATAAGTTGATTATTTAAATTATAAAAATAATCTTTTAAAAATTCAATCCATGTATAAATAATAACTTCACCTGATTGCCACATTTTATCCATTTGATTTGTTAATGATAATAATTGATCACATGTTAAATAATCACATTGAATACAATATAATGGTGGATCTATTTTAGGATATGTTTTTCTATAAGTTATATGAAGAGTTATAGGTGGTAAATGAGAAAGTTCAGTAGATACATTGGACTCATCATGAATAAGAAGAAGTTTATTTGGTAATGAATCAAAATGAATAATTAGATCAAATGTCGATTCATCATTTTCATTATCAATTAATACGAAATCTTCATTAAATATGGATTTCAACACTAATATTTCTTCTTCATGTTCGACAGGAATCAAAGCTTTGTCCATGCACTCCATTGTTTATGTGATTTCACATATCTAGGTGACCCTTATATATATGCATGTTACTTTCATTGCATTAGAATTTCGTAATAACATAGAATGACTCATCATCAGTATATATTTTGTACTTAATCCATAAACAGCGGCGTATAAAAAGAAAACAAAAAGAAAACAAAGCATGTAGTAGATACGTTCACACAAACAAGCAAAACGATGTTTATATCGGTACCAAAATAACATAATAATAAAGGGAACAAAAAAAAAAAAAAAACGATAAAAAGAAAAGATTTAAACTAAGTCATAAAAACTGACTGGAAATGTATTTAATCTATCAGTTATAATTCATCATCATGTACATGAGTTGATTTACCATGTTCGGTATCTGTATCATCATCATCGCCTGGTGTTTTACTTTTATCTTCTAAAAACAAAGAAAAAAAGAAAAAGATTTTATTTAATTAATAAAATAAAAATTTACATACCAGCTTCACGTTTTTTTCGTTCTTCTTCTTCTTTCTTTCTTTCAACTTCATCTTGTGAATCTTTCATTTTTTTTTCAGCATCTTTTGTTTTACCCCATGTTTCATTACCAAATTCTTCAGCACGTTTAACACTATCTGTGATAATAATATTATCAAAGATAGTACCAGATTTAACTTGCCATAAATCAAAACCAATTACTGATATATCCTTATATAAATAAAGATTTTGATCTTCAACATAATCAGGATTATCAATTTCTGGATGAACCCATTGACCTTTATAAGCTGGATTATCTATTTGACGAGCTTTCCATACACCTTTATATGCGGGATTATCAATCATTGGTGGTTCCCATGTTCCATCAATTTCATCATCCCAATCTTCTGGTTTTTTAGCATCAGGATCAGGAATATGTTCTGGTTTATCCCAATCTAATAACAAAAAAATAAATAATTTTCTTTGTCTTTAAGAATTTTACAAAAATATACCTTCTGGTTTTTTATCAGCTGAATCATCAATTTTTTCTTCATCAACCCAATCTGATGGTTTTTTAGCATTTGGATCAGGAATTCGTTTTGGTACAGTAAAATCCCAATCTTCTTCAAGTTTACCACTTTCAACTTTTTCATTATCAATACGAACTTCATATGTATTATCAGAATTAAGAATTAATGTATAAAGATGTGTGAATTCATCATCTTTACATTTAATATCTTTTTTAATTAATAAATTTTTGCCTTTATATGTAAAAATAACATGAACTTTCTTTTTATCATAACCACAAATATCAGGACCTAAAAAAAAATAAAACAATGAAATAGAAAACCAAACAAATAATTTTTTTGTTTTTATTTACCAAACATAATATGATATGGTGAATCACCAGTAATATCTTTTTGATTCGTATCTGCTGGATAAACTTTGACATAACCACCACCACAATCAATTTTTTGTTCATGTTTTACAGTAAATTGAACAACAAGAGTTTTTCCTTCATTTGAAAATGAATCAAATTTAGCAGACATAGCATAAAAACGTGCATCTTGTGATGTTTGAAGACCTTGAAAAAAGAAATGAATATTATTTTATTTTGCTTTATTCAATGAATAAAATACATACCAAGATCTTTTTTAGCATCACCATAAAATTTACCATGTGATAATTTAAATTCACCTAAATCTGATTTTGCTGCTGATTGTACCCATCGTTTTGTATAACTTTCATCTTTTTAGAAATAAATTAATTTAATAAGAAATAATAAAATTACAAGTAAAATATTTACCTTCAAATTTTTCAACAAAATAATCTGTTGAATAAACGATAGCAATAACAAAAGAAAGTAAAAGTAATGAGTATGTTGTACGAATCATGATGCCCTTCAAAAGAATATGAATGAACCGATACCGCTTTCTCTTTGTTTTACTTTTATTTTATAGAAGATAGAGACGAATCAAGTGGCAAACAGCAGAGTATGGGGTGTGTTCAAATGATTGGTTAACATTGTATTAGATAAACCTATGAGAATTCAACGTGTGGAATGAGAATATGAATTGATGATTGAATAAAAAATGAAATAAAATATATATATTTAGAAAATAAAATATTTAAATTAAATAATAGATTTAAATTAGAGTTAGAATTTTTTTGAAAAGTTTTCTATACCGACATCTATATTATTTAAATAAATTGTATTTTCATTTACAATATGCAAGAAAAGACAAATACTAATGAAGATAATCTATTATTAAAACATTTTTATGATGAAGATTTATATAATAATTCCGATGAATATGGATTAGATATTACTACACTTCGTTATACACTTTTGTAAGTGTATTCATTAAGAATGAATAAAAAAAAAAGAAATTTCTAATAAACATGAGTTACATTATTGATATATTTCAATACCAAGTAAAAAGACTATAAATTTCTCTGAGCTATTTTCAAATATCGGATGAATCTTTTGACAACCTCTGAAACTCATCATTCAAAATTCCACCATACAAATGTCAAATACAACAATTAAAAGTGAAGATTAACTTATCGAATGAATATCAAACAGAAATCAATTTGGATAATCTCTCTTGCATTTATAAGCAACAATTACAAATACTTAGAATTAAAAAAAAATAGAATGCCTTTGTTTAAACATGCAATCTTTCTGTTAATGTTGAAACATTTTTCAGTAACATCATATTCTTTTGATTTCAGTTTATTTTTGTTTCGAAGAGTAATACAACCTAACAAAGAATTATTTGTTGAATCCATTTGTACTATTTCAAAAACCTTGGAATAACAATAACAAATATTTGTTACTGATTAGTCATATAAAAACTATACATCCTGACCGATAGATTCTATTTAATAGTATCAAAAAAAAAAATAATTATCAAAAGTTGGCTAATAAACAATTTAATAATCGAGAATGTTCTTGTGTCAGCATGAATGCATAGTAATTTACTAATGTGAAAAAAATGTCTTTTGTTTTTTTGTTAATGACTTTAGGCAATGTCGTAGGCAGCTTCTTGTCTGGATTAATGCCTTAATTGATGCAGAATATGCTTGTAAGTCATTTTATTTTTAATGAAAGAAAAACTTTTCTTTTTTTGTATATAGATACTAAAGTTGAATTACGAGAAGATTTTAATAAATTAAAATTTGAATATGATAAATTAAAAAATGAAACTAATTTATTAAAAAATAATTTTCAAGAATTAATTGATAATTGCAAGTAAGAATTATTATTATTATTATTTTTTCTTCTTTTTTTGGAAATATATTCAAATCTTATGTACAGATTTTTAATTGAGCAAACAACTGCAATTTTGAAAGAACGAGATGGTTATTATTCAGAATGGAAATTTAATAGAAATATTCTTACTCCACGGTAAAAACAATGTCTAAATGAGTGGCGGAGGTATTTTGATTCCTTATAAAAAAAAAAAGCTTCAAAAAATCTTTTGTCTCTATGATCTGATAGTAAAAACAATGCTCTATATTTCTGTGATATTTGATCATGGTATGTGAAGGTAATATTAGATTACATTTTGTCTTCAATGTATACAGAGAGGGTCGAAAGTAATCCTCCTAATCTTGAAAAATTTTCATTTTTATACAGAGAATTGGTTCCCCATAGTCCTGAGGATTATGGAATAACCCTAGATATAAAGGGTGTTTCAAAACTATTGAAATCATTTTAAAATTCATCGGTCTCGCATTCAACCAAAGCACTATCTCCAGTTTTTATCAATGAATGGTTAAAGCTTATCAGATCACTAGCTAGTGATAGTCGTAAGAAAATGTATTTTAGCGATGATGAATATACAAAATTCATTCAAACTATTGTAGCACGAAAAAACAGCTAAAGAATTAGTAATTTACGAAATGTTATTTTTGAAGATGATCAAGATTATAAACAAAGGAGAGGCTTGGGTACCGTTAAACATGTTTTTTTTATGGATCTAATTGAACTAAAAAATTAGTCGATATTTGGCCTATAGAAAATGTTTGGGGTACATTAGAAGAAAAATCACAAGGACGAGAATACAATAATATTGAACAATTGAAAAACGACGTTAAATAAGAATGGAACAAATTTAGTGTTTCTTTATGTCAACGAATGATGGATAATATATCAGCACGATTAAAATTAGTAATTGATCAAGATGGTAATCAAATACAAGAATATTGATAACTATTGTTCTGTTTCTTTTTATTGCAAATAGTAGTATTTTTTTAAAATAATAACCAAGATGATCAGAAAAATTGAAAAAATACTACATGATAGTGTTGTTACAGGTCCTCATGCATAGTACAAACTATAGATTTGAAACTTTGTAGTTATGTAGCAATAAGCATATCCCATAATCTGCCAAAGATGCGAGACCGGTGAATGTTAAAATTGTTTCAATATTTCTGAGACACTTTTTATAGTCTTTTCTCGATGTTCTCCTTCTCTAATGCCTAGTCGTCTATACATATTAGAATGTACAAAAAGTAGTGGTGGTAAAGCAAAATAAATGTGGAAACCTCGGATTTAAATCCGAGAGTTATGTGTACTTCAAAAAGTGAATGAGGCAGATGAGTCATCCTAGAATGTGGAGACATAAAAATTATCCTGGCAAACTTTTTCTATAAACACTTGATTTCTATTGGCTACTGCTCAACCAATAGGATTTGGGGTAAATACAGCTCAGATTTGAACTCTTCGTCTTGATTTACCCTAAGAAAGTCTTTTTTCCTATAACTTGATTGCTATTGGTTACTGCTCAACCAATGGAATTTCGAGGCGAATGGAGCACATATTCGAGTTCTCCACCCCAGAAAACCTCGAACTATCATCTGTATGATCGGAAGATAGAGCTCTAATTGTAGATCAATTAGAGCGTGGACAAGAACAAAACCAAATTCCGTTTAATTATCTTTGCAATAGGTGAGTTAGCTTTCTTGTTTCTTTATGTTTTATATACCATTTTGTAGCTCGTGAAATTCTCTATCGAATGGTATATAATAGTTGGGGTTTTATTTAACTATGATAGGAAAAGTTGTTTACGAAAGCTGGGATCGGTCGATTTTCGCATAGGAAGCCATAGGGAAAAATGACTATTTTTGCAATAACTCACGAATGGCTCGGTCGATCATGCTCATCTTCGAACTCGACCGAGATATTGTTAAGACTAAACTGTGTAGAAAATTTCATCGTGATCGGACTCTCCTTTCAAAAGTTATCGTGTTAACGGCCGGACACACTGACCGATTCTAGAGTGTACTCACTTTTTGAGTACACAAAAAGAAAGAAATAAGTCTTTATTTCGTTAAATATTTGAAATAATCGTCGTGATTAATGACATTCAATTGCATTTGTTGAATCTACTTATCGAACGTGTTTTCTCTATTCAAAGAATTTATGAATTAGTTTACAGTACGAAGCAACAACGTTTTGATCGTTTATTAAGTCAAATAACCAAAACCTAAAAATAGTGCCAAATTCGATGAATTACCTAAAGTAAAAATTTGTTTCTGAATTTCTTTTTTGTTCTACCGTCATTACTTCCTGCATATTCTAATACAAAATAGACGGCTAGACATTGTACAAGAACAAAGTGAATATCAAAACAAGAGTAATCTCATAGTACTATCATATAGAGAAAAGATTTTCTTTAAGCTTTTTATAGGGATTTAAAATAATTCTACTGCTTTCTCTTCGTATATCCTAAATAAATTAAATTGTTATTTCAGACCTGATTGGGATAAATGTTCTCATCTTATAACACAATGGAAAAATCTATCAATTGGTAAAACAAGTGAAGAATTAGTTGATGTATTAATTAATGAAATTATTCATGGAAATACGAAAGAAAATAATAATGAATATTTTTCTATGATTATTAATAATAAAAATGTATTTTTTTTAAAAGTTTTATATAAAATTTATGATTTTAGTTTATATATTTAGGAGTTAAATCAAAAAAATATATTTTTTGAACAATTATCTATAGATACATCTTCTGAAGAAAAATTTATTAAAAATCGACATATGCGTCGACGAATAACTGGTTTACTTATTAAAGAAATTTGGTCAAATAAATTATTTGATGAAAATAAAGTATGTTAATTAAATAATTATTTTTTTAAATATATTTTCAACGATAAAAATTTTTTATTTAGCTTGAAACAAAAACAAATATTAAATTAACTGATTATGTATTTGATTATTTAACAAAAAGATTTAATAATAAAGAAATAGCTATTGAAATTGGTTATAATATAAAAGATGCATGTAATCGATATTGTAATAATTATGAAATAAATTTATTTTGGCAAATATTAACTGGACAAATCGAAGAAAATGTTTATCATTATGAAATGAAAGAATTTGCTCGAATTCTTCAATATTTAATTAAATTATGTTCACATTCTTCATCACAATCTGTATGTAACAAACGATTCTTAAGAGGAACACTCCGCTGGATTTTAATTTTAGAATTTTTAATTTTTGGCTTTTTTTCTAGTATATATATACGCTTCGAAATATTTTCAATCTATCGAACATATTTCAAGAATTAACACATAACTATAAAAGTTGAAAAAGTGAAAATAGGCTTGCAATAGTGAAGACAGTAAATACATGATAACTAGAAACCCGCGGGTCCAAGTTCGAGGTTTTTTTCCCATCAACACCTGGCACTATTTGTGTACATGAACAAGTGAAGGATCAATGTTTTAGCTATTTATTCGCTATTCTCAGAGAAAATTCAACATAGAGCCATATGTTGTCGCTGTATTTCTCATCTGGAGAGCAGCAGGTCCACAAAAACGTGTAATTGGGCTCAACAAAAGGTAAAATGTTGGACTCGGATTCGGGTCTCGCAGGATCCGCAGCTCCCTAATGATAATACTAAGATGATCTTACATTCATTTTGACTTTTTTTAGTCGAGAGAAGTCTATTTCAAGAAAATAGCTGAGTTTTATAAGACGTGACTAAACTTTTCTCGACCGAGAAAGCCGAACTCGAGAATTTCAATAAATCTCCTATAGATTAGCATGCCTGCATTCGAAAAGTTTTTAGTCTATTTTTAAAAAATTCTGTTATTTTATTGAAATGATTTTTTCGGTCAAAAAACCTAAAATCAATCCAAGACCATGATAGTTTTATCAGGTGTTCGTCTTCAGTCTATACATACCTATTTAGATCAATGCATAGCTATACATAAGATCGGTGCGCTATCATCGTTGCATTCCTAATCAGAAAAGATGAAACATTTTTGCTGAAAACTATTAAAATTTACATATTATTTCGCTGTTTTTGAAAAATGAGTTTTTTTTGACAAAAATAGTTCAGAATTGTGTTTCTTTCTCAAATGCAATACATCCGATCGAGAAAGTGTTTAGAGTGTCTATTTCACTTTTATTTCAAAATATAATGCACCGCTGATTTTCGTCAAGATTTACAAAAAACAAATTTCCAATTGAAAGAAAATGCATTTTTGAGAGTACACTCAGTGTTTCGATCGTTTTATTCGAACAATGGAAGAAGAAGCAAGAAGGGACTCTACTCATCGAGATATATCTATCCTAAAAATTTCAAAATATTCTGATTAATTTTTGTTCAAAAATGTCGAGAAAGACTTGATGAAAACTTTTGGAGTAGATAGATCATGATGAATAGAATAAAAATTGCTATTGATTCTTTGTTAATTTTTTCTTGTATTATTTAAGTTATTGTGGACAATTCGATGGTCAGATTTATTGACTGCTCTTCATGAGCTTTATCCAAATTGGACAAATGAACGTATATCACTTTTAATTATTGCTGCTGAAAAAGACTTAAAACAATCATCAAAAGAACGAAATGATTATTTCGAATTTTTATTATTATTTACTGAAGATGATGAAGGTCATATAGGAGAATTTTTAATGACTATACGTCAACAATTACAATTAGATAAAATTGAATATATTGAAAAAATAAAAGATCTACTTATTGGATATCCGTAAGTTTAATTTGTTAGAAGAAAAAAACGATATTCTGATGTTAGATTTTTTTTTTGTTATTTTTTAAAGATTAGTGTCAATTAATCAGTTCAAACAAGCTGTACAACTTGTTGATCCACATATATCAAAAAATGAACTTGAACGATATGTTAATTGGGTATTTGAACTTGAAAAAATCTTATTAACGTTAAATCAGCAAGAAATATCATCGAAAACGAATGAAAATATTCAATTAATTAAACAATTAAAAAAACGTGATTTTGAAGAAATTATTCTTCGTTTAGAACGTTGTTCTTGTTTTATGCATTAATTCAATAAAATTAATAATTTCGATAATACTATCCGCACATTCTATTATAGACGAGACATTCTACTATGTATTCATACAATCAAATTTTCGATATGAATTATTTTATAAAATTTTCAATACCATGATCAGAACTTTTGGTCGGCCCTAACAATAGAACTGTTTGTCATGTCAGTAGATTTGATTAACTATATTCATGTCAGATTATCACCCTCCACGAGAAACTACCAAATTAAAAATGTGAGCTGCTAATGATGAGTCTCAATCGATTTATTCAAATTTTAAGGTATGGGCAATTTAGGTATATAAGAGTCAATCTAGAGAAGTTGCTCAATCGAAGTTATGAGATTTTGCTCAATTTAATATATGTTGTAGAGAGAATAATTTTGAAGCAAGTCGTTTGATAAAATATTATTTCTTTCTCAAGATATTTAAATTTTTTCTGAAGGAGCACTATTGCTAAAAAACACATTTTTTGTGACATTCATATCTCACGAAAAATACATCGATTTGACTTGAAATTTTGTATTGTGCATAGATCTCAAGTTGATATATTTATCACACAAAAATGAGTTCAAATAAGTGAACTGTTGATGAGTTGATCGTACTAACAGCTACACGTTAAAGTAGTCATTTTTCAGTATTTTCCAATAAGACTATCCAGGTTATTCTACCATATCCTTGGTTAATTTTTGCATAACTTTGTAGTGTTGGATGTGTCCTTTAGAACCACATGGGTTCGACTTCTATTGAGCGCATATTTTAGAAGTTCATACCCTTCTAAAATCATGATTTTATGGAGAGTCTTCTGAGCAATAGACACTATCTAGAAAGCTGAATTTTTTATCACCGTAGGTACTTCATGAGATCTCTCTATTCCCAAAATTTCGACTCTTTAAAATGGTTAATCAAATCAACTGATATGACAAATAATTCCATTGTTTGTGGTAAAAGTAGTGTTAAGTTCAATGAATTCAAAATTAATAATTATTGTTTATTTTCATAGAATATAATCTCGAACAGGCGAAGATTCGATTCGGACTTGCATTAGTTGTTCTGCATGTATTCTGCCATAAGTTGACAAAAGATTTCATCAAATATAGTAAAAAATATACATTTAAAATTATTACATCCATAAAATAAATAAGTTACACAATGAAGTATTTCTATCGTTATGGAAACACATTATCTTAACTCAAAAAAAAAGAAACAATGTCTCATTTGAAGAAATGAAATTTTTCTTG